CTCAAAATAGGTCATGATTTGCGTTTGGTGAGACTGGAAAGGCACGGTGCACTGGGAAATGCTCGAGCGAAATGCTACTGTCAACAAGGAGGTCTATATTGCCTAGCTTAACCGTGTTAGTGTTGCTATTCTGCTGAAATGACCCGATAGACAAGGTGAAGTCATCTTGCTCCACAACGCCAGGCCCCATAATGCCCAAGTCGTCAAAACAGCACTCCAAAAGCTTGAGTGAGAGGTTCTTCAGCATCCACCGTACTCTCCGGGTCTTGCACCTACCGACTACCACCTTTCCGCTCTCTGTCAAACCAAATGAGGAGTGTTACCTTTGATGGCGAAGAGGTTCTTGGAAACTGGCTCAACAACTTCTTCGACACCAGACCGGCCGATTTTTGGCGAAACGGCATCAACAAATTGGTCGAGAGATTGGAGGAGGTCGCAAACAGTAACAGGAAGATACATCATTGATTAATTTATTATTATAATTATTGTTTTTTGGTCAAATAAATCTCTGTGAAAAACTCTACGAACTTATGTTACAACCCAATAGTAACAGCAAAAATAGCCCACTTTTCCCAGCCTCTTGAGGTAGAAAATTAAACAAGGGATCGCGGCAGCAAAAAGAATAAGAGAGGAACAAAGAATATGAAGAAACATCGCCTCATCACTCGGCGATCAGCTGGTCGTGTGTGAGCCCTACAACGAATAGTTGCAATCTGTATCACCTCAACCATCGTCTGACGTGACATCGATCGTGTATGACTTTTCCTAGAGGAAGATTTCGGTAACCATTTTTATCGTGAACCGTGCCTTTAAACATGAAATGTTCACGATTATAGATTGTGCATACTTCCAGCTAACTTGACATCTTTACGTATTTTTTCAATACCACTATGTTCGATCCATGCCCTATCATTTCGACCCGGACATGATCGAAATTTTCTTCATGTCTATCGACAACTTCAATGATTGATCATGCAAGTGAAGAAAGAGTCTGAATGTTGTACCTGTGTGAGTGAATAGGGCGAGTGTTTGTCCTATTGAGCAAGCGCAACTTATGCGTACATGAATGCAAGGATACATCTGCTATACAGTCGTACATGTCCAATTATATTTCCTCAAGTCTAGCGGAATAAAGAGGCGTACTTTTTAGGGTGATGCATTAATTAAAAGGTTCGAATAATCTCTCTATGTTTAAAGCGGTAACTTTGTGTGTTTGTTCAAATGTCGGTTTGTGCGTCCGCCAGCGAAATTCACAGGGAGACGGGCAGTAGAAACGGTTTTGTGTAATCGATCCGCCGCACGCGGCCGTCGCGGACCATTTGCCTCGTTATAGCAGTTCCAGCGTTCCTTATACAGTTCAATCGATATGCAATAATTTTTTTTAGGCATGATTCTGCTGTAAGTTCTTTTGTTCCCGTATTTCTTACTTGCTGCTGCATTCTGCCACATTCCTTCGCGGGCGCCGTCTCTCTCGCCGCAACGCTACAGTTTCGATTCTACTGCACCACACCCGAGTTCGCGTAGGTACTACGAGGATTGTGAATGTCACCGGCGCATGTGGACATTGATGAGGGACATGTTACGAAATAGGCAGTCTATTGATACTGTATTGACTCAGTAACCAATACGGATTACTGGGTGATATCTTGCACGCGTTAGCGTGTGCAGCCCGACTGGTCATTTTTTTTCGATAGTTCGGTTAAGATCCCTATTATCCGATCCGCTATTATTGTCATCTGCCTGGAATCGAATAAGAGTCCTACTTAATGCTTCAATGATCTCAAGGCGATCTCGTAGTCTCTTAGGTTGTTTTAAGGCGAGTCACAATTATCATACACATTTCCATTTTATACTAGGGCAGCTAAAACACTTGTTTCCATAGACGCAGTCGACTAGTACGAGCTATCCAAATGTGGTTCCGTTTCTTCTACAAATGTTGAAAACTTCCATGTGCACTTCGTCGTTACATATAGATGCAATACTATTCTCTATTTAGCCAGGGCAATGGACACAGTCGGGATTTCATCAGTACATGTTGGCGCCCCAATATCGTCGCTCTGTAACCGTGAGTAGCTTTGCACCACTGCTATATAATATGATCATTTGAAACTCTTAAGGATTGCTATGATCGACATCGCCCCAACATGCCGAATACAGCTCGTCCTCCACCGAGCATGAAAACAGATAATAGCGATAACACATTTCACGGTAAGCATTACCTCACCATCTTTTTACTAAAAGAGTTTTGATGTCTTTTTTTAGCAAGTTTATCCATGTTGGAAAATCCAACTCAGAATTCTGCCGCTGCTTATACCGCTAGTTGGGTTAGCAGCACCTCTAGCATTCCACCAGAACTGAGAGATGAGCCCGAGGTAATTCTTACCTTCTCGTGATGAGTAGGTTTACCGTATGAAATTCACATGATGGTATTGTAGTCTTTATTTTACTCAGGTGCCGTCGTTCAATGGTTCAGCTCACAGTGGATGCGTAAGTTTTTTCTTCCTTGGCTTTTTTATGCTCTTTCAAATTTTCCGTATTTTATTATACTTGTAGTGATGCGGTTTTATAGTTTTTTCATAAGGATAATAGTTATGTTTGAACCTCTGAAGTTGTGAATGCAATTACCGCACAAACAGAAAAGTGTTTAGCGGGACGATCTTGCAGCTGGTGCGTCTGCAGTTTTTACACCTCCGGTCAGCACGTTTGCTGACCAGTTCAGCAACATATCGATCACCGAGAAAGTAATTAACTTCGGTTTTTTTTTTTCGCGAATGATTTTGTTGTTATACCTGTGACTCATTAAGGACGGCGAATTATTGACTACACAATGGGAAAACCCTACGATTCTTGCGGCACAGCAGTGGCCTGGTCTCGGGCAAGATGGAGGTGGTGGAGGTGCTTCTGTGGGCCAAGAAAGACGTCGACGAGCTGATGAACGCCAACTTCATGCCCGCGAATCTTCTAAGGAGCTCACTTGGGAGGAACGCATCCGAAAAGGAGCTGTACAGAAAGAGCGCGTTGAGCAGCGAGGGTAGGCCAGTAGTATTTTCCAGCTTGTTTCTGTGGGTTGCGGATGGTGTTTCTTCAAAATTATGATCGCTAAAAGATTGTATTTTAAGAGCATAATGTAGCGATTATCGCGTGAGATGTGAAGCTTTGTCAACTTCGCCTTAAGCAACATCAAAGACAAATCGAAATTAAGTCTTTCTTACAGTTTGGAAAGGCCTGAGAGGACCGAGCGTGATGGGCGTGAGAACAACTCTGGAAACGTTCGTCACAAAGGTCAACGTGGCGGTCGATATGGAGTGCCTTCAAGATCTGATCGTTTAGGAAGGGAAACAATACTTTCTCCAATCCTAGGAGTATGTGCCTACCATTAGTTCATGTCTCCTTGCAATGCGTAGGAATTGATTCTGATTCTCATCATGACGGTTCTGCTTAAAAAAATGACTTTGTTAAAAGTTGGCAATAACTAAACTATTCCCTCAATATCGAACGTAGGTAAAAGCGGCTCGAATTTTAAAATCAGTCTCACTGTGAAAATTTTAATGTATCACTCCACTCCCTAGCACTGAATATCCAAAAAAAAACAGGCCTAGCCCGTTGAAAGCAAACGAAAATCCAACTCAAACCTCACTTCGACCTTTCGTTGATATAAAATGAGTGAACGCAGATTTTCTCACAAATCACTGTTGAGTAGTCATCAGCTAAGTTACATTCATGTTTCGCTGTACGCTTTAACCTTATTTGGGTGCGTCTTCCCTATCTCGTCACATACATATACGGCACGTCGAAAGCGAACTTTCGCATAGGTGCCATGAGTAGTCATCTGGCTAATATAATTTACGTCGCAGTCAGGCGTTCAAGCCAAGACTCATAGCCGTAGATACCGGTGAGACTGTGTTTTCGTGCTGAATATCCATGAGGAAACGTGGGGGTTCATGCTTTCATCGAACTAGTTCTTTCATTCCAATTATATTCGGATTTTTGAACATCTTTCCTGCAATCTTGCACATCTATAAGCCTGCTCAGGGCAAAAAAGTGGCATACTAGACTATGACCTGTCGTCTATAAATGAATTAACACAACGCCTTTCTTTAAATTTGCATTTCATACAAATAATCATACTATTGCAATAAATAAATGTGGGAGAGCATCTCTCAGACGGGATTGGTTCTCTATCCTTTAGACTTAATCATACTATTGCTTTAAAGTAGATTTTTCCATTATTGTCTATCATTTTGTTCAGTTTTGCAGGATCGAGATGATTATCCATGTCGTAATGGTCAAACCATACGATCTACACGAGGAAATCGCACAGTGGAAAGGACTATTCACCACGACATCGGGGCAAGGATAGTTCCAATGCGTGTACCGCAATACTACAGTCATGGTTCGTCATTTCCGTTTCGAAATATTTGTAGTAAGAGACAATTTACTGATTTATTGCTAGAATTTGAAGGAGTCCCACTGTTTATGGCTCGTGGGGCGTACTATCGTGCAGGACCTCCTCCAGTAGTTTGTATTCCGCAACAGGATCAACGTTTTCGAAACACATGGCTTGATGCTAGTCTTGGTATCAACTACCCGTCTGTTCAAATGGTGAATTACTGCCGTTACGCTTTCCTCAACGTGATTGACTAAAACATTGTCTCCAGGTTGATTATTCGTACACTCCTTGCTGTGGTGTGTATCGTACACGGCCAACTTCTGGTGGGCGGAGCGGCTGTCGCTATGCGTCCAATAATCTTTGTAAGGAGAACGTAAACGCTCAGTGCAACGAACAAACATCCATCGAAACAGATCAAAGCAGAAGGGCTCAAAGTGCTGTTGAGAATAACGACTTATCGAAAGCTGATGAGGAGGACTGGGATGCTGAAATTAAAGAGCAGAAGCGGAGTCGTTGGCCTCGTAATAGGTGTTGGCCGTATGGTAGGGAGGAACCCGAGAGTAATAACCCAGCAGTTGAGGAGAATCACACTGCGGATGAAAAGCATCATTGCGAAATTTCTGATACCTCCTTTAACGTTAAAACAGATGCTTGTGTAACCACGGCTTCTGAGTGAAATGAGAGCTCCTTCCAACACTCTTGTCATCAAGCCAAAGTAGCCAATGTATTTGTATCTTGGCTTTTATTATTTTTTCCTCGCCTCCATTACGAATGAATGCCACTTTGCGAACACGGTTCGCTTAACTAACGTTCATGTATGTATTATTTTCTGTGGTCGTTGAATGAGCGCTCTAATCTGCCATTTTTCCCCTTGGAAAAGGTTATATAATGGAGTCTGACAGGCAATTTCTCTCTTTAATCACAATACAACAACGTTCATCTGCTGTCGTCCTGTTTTTGGTCTTCCATGTTCTATTGCAATAGACATTTATGTATTGATAGATGGCTCAAACTGCACTCAGTAGTTTCATACAGTCACATATTTTTTAATGAGAAACCGCTCCGTTTTCGTCATATTTCTGTAGATATCTTCTTTTCTTCTTTACCGTTCGACTAGTTATCAGATTTTTTCTGTTTCCATTCTTATACGTTCATTTTTGTATTCTTCCTCTTTTCCTCCTTTTTTCGCTCCTTTACGTTGTTTCCTTTTGTCTCTATCATTTCTCAATCATTATTGTACTCTTATCGTTTCATGCGATTATTTCCGTTGTTAGTAGAGATGTTTTGTTATCACAGTGTTTTTTCTTCCTCAGGTCCAGACACTGTATGTTACTGCGCATTCGTTTATGGAGTGTCGGACGCTGACATGATTGGTTTATTTGTTTCAATGTTAATCAACTTGTCCTACCCTGTGAAGATTAATCGGTTCAAGCCAGAATACAGACTGTTCTGGGTATCGCTATTGATTTGTCGAAATCTTATATTCCACATTTATTGTCGTGTAAATCCGTTTTTATTTCTCTAGACTACACTTATGGTTGTGCAGTCGTGGGAATCTGAGATTGATGTTTGTCAGATTATAAATTTTATACTTTTGCTACTTTTTATTTTGCTCACTGAATATGTGGCGGTGTGACATCTTCATACCACTTTTTGTGATTTCCTGTTTTTATGTTTTGAAATATTGTAAGAAGTTGCACTTGAATGCAAAACAGATGTCCGTGGTCATCACTGGCCTCCGGCGACCCGAGTACAGAATACTGTTCCGTGTGCCTCACGAGGAGATGTAGTGCTTTGTGGGCAGCCACTGTCCTCTGGGACCGATGTTATGGGGTATGCAGAGTGATCCCTTGCCAAAGTTTCTACTTAATTCGCTTTAGTTTTATATTTCTCGACCATTCTGACCATTCTAGATTTTAAACATCAATTTTTTATTATCTGTCATTTGTTACGATTTCAGTGGTCATGGTACTATTCCATCTGGTGATAACCTAATGGCCAGTGTGTCTGGTGTGAAAATGCAGTACAGCCGAATGTTTCTGGTGGAACCGTACAAATCAAAATGTTTTGTTTTGCGATTTGATGGATGTACCTCATGTATGTGTTCTGAGTTTTTTTTTTTCAGGTATATACCCAAAATAGGAGGCGTTGTGGTGGGACGTATTGCAGGCATTCAAAGGGCTCGATGGAAGGTATTTGATTCCGATGTTCTTGTCAGTTTTTTTTTCTTTGTTAGAAATATTTAGTGGCTGCTATCTTGCATTTGAATGATGTTAACCTTCCTGGTGGCGAGCTTTGACGTAAAGGCCTAGAGGTACGCTCATATTTACAGCATGCCTGGTTGTCCTGGTGTTTCCGTTCAGCAGTAATGAAATCAATTATCTGCTTTCACTTCATTGTCTCGATTAAGGATGAGGTCGCTATGTCAAAGCATCTCGTGGTAGGTGATATGCTTAGTGCAGAGGTTCAGCAAATACGAACGCGAGGGCAGTTACAACTTCATACAAGGAATATAAATATGGTAAACTCGGTCAAGGAATCATGGTCAAAGTACAGGATCAGTTTTGCCTTCAGACAGCATAACCCTTCCCTTGTTGTTAATTGGATGTAAATAGGTTCCTCCGAACTTGGTGAAACCTCCGAAGGAGTATATGATGAAATATATGGTGTCAGTGTAATAATTGAATGTAATGGTATAACACGGATCTCTCCTGCTCTGATAACCAATCCTGACGGTGGTTACAACTCAAATAGATGGTTTGTTCTCAAATAGATGGTTTCGAAAAAATTCAAGGTGCTCCCATTAGACAAGCGTAAAGTTTTGGTAAGGATTGCTGCTTGCATGCGAATGCTCGCCAAGAATCTTATTGCCATGTGTGATGTAACGCTCATGTCAGCCTATAGCGTGACGTTGACAGACAAGGTAAGTTTAGCTGACCATGCTCAAAAATCATTTGTGTTTCTGTTTCGTAGTTTTGAACTCGCAATTTTCACTTAAGAAGAGCTTTTGTCTCATTCCGCCTGCTAATCAAGGCTTGCGTGGTTGTCCGCACGATGGACTTTGTTGTAGTAGACATATGCAGAAATACATCAGGTTAGAAGTTTTGAAGATTGGGTGTACTCTTTAGACAACATCCTAAGAATATTTTTCAAAGGTTTTGATTACTAAAATTAAAGGATTAATTGGTTTGCGATGCAATCTTGATGGAGTGTGCCGCACGTCAGCTTTGATTCATAATTCTTTAGGAAAGAATGCGTGCCCGACCTGAACAATAACTTGTGGAAGCATAGCGATGGTTAATTGAATGTTTTGTTTCATTCTACATAGACAAGTGTGCGACCAATTGAGTGGCACAATCACAATGAAAACTATGCCTGGAAATTCTCCCTGCGATGGATCTGTGATCTCCATAGACAGCTCAAGCCCCTGTGCTTCAACTACCACATCTAGAGTATGGCGTAAGTCGGTGCAGTGTTGTGCATCGAAATGCAAGTGTCACAGGTGAAAGCCACTGTCCGAAATGCATACAAAACGTGACGCAACTTTCTTGTTTCAAAATTGTACCGATGCGGTATAGAACCGATTTGACACGCTGCTTATTCGTTAAATTCTTACGGGGAGTTATGCGCTTCTTCTTTGCTCCTCATAAATTAAATATTTCGAATTTCGGGAGGGAGTGTGGAGGGAAGGTTCATGGAAAAATGTGGTTAGTAGAAATGTAAAAAAGGTCCAAAATCACCATATTATTATTCGCTTACCCGGATTAAGGGAAACACGCCTGAATGCAGGTTTAGTTGGGCAACCTTTCAACGCTCCAGGTTCTTCAGCCAATGTTAGCCTTCTTCGCCTGGATTCGAATGTAATCGCTGGTGAATTGGTGGAATGTGATTGGGATTTCTCATTGTTCAGGTGAAGGACATGGCGCGTCCTGAGATTTCTTCGGTACTCGTGCCAAGAATAACAGATTTGATAGCGGCTGAAGAAAAGCGACGCGCGCTGGAAAAAGATAGAGCGGAAGCTGCTAGAAAATGAAGAGCCATTGAACTTTGAGTTCGCAATGTAAAGATTTCCCAGCGCAATTAAATGGTTCATGAAATGGTAAGTTATATAATTTCACTTTAACAATCCATTAAATTTCTTAGAAAACAGGCTTTTGAATTCATTGTTTTGGATGTTTTTCATTCTTTCTCTCGCATTTTTATATTTTCTATTAACTATTTTGGAGTGACTGAAAATATACACATGAGTTGCAGCTCTAAGAATCAAGTACACCAAACCTTTTCGAAGTATGTCAAATTATTATTTGCAATGCTGTTCATTAGTGCATCTGCATGGCAGTGCTGGCAATGTGAGTAGTGGATGTATCCCTCTTTCAGGGCAGTACTTTTGTCTGCTCTCGCTTTTCATCTTGAAAAGTCGTTACATAATGTTGTAATACTAGTTTTCTTATATTCTCATGAATGTTCCTCTAAAGTTGTATCTGCACAATTTCCCCTTGTAACTGAATTTGTTTTTTGTTCAGTATCTAATTCTGTTTTTGTTGAATAAATCTCCGAAGCTATGCCTGTGAAATTTCTTCTTTTGGTTTCATGCCATCGTTGCCGCCTTCCTCAGAGTTGTAGTCAGATCACAAGAGTAATAATAATGATTTTTTAATCGCAGCAGGTGCTTGTTGTTATCTTCCTGTATCGGTTCATAATGACAATCGTGAAGGAACGCCCTCAGACCATTATTGCACAAACGCGAGAAGAAATGTGTCAGAATATCAAGGAGTATCTAGTAGAAACACTTGCTCATCTCATAAAATATAATGGACTTATTTCCATAGGTGTTTCTGGTATGGACTCAGTTTTTATTGCCAAGGATGATTTGGATACTTTATTTGATATTGTCTTGCGGTACTTTTAGACCACTAATTCTATTTTAGCTTCGGGAATTTTCTTTCTTCATGCTTCAGACGGCCAGGACCCGTTATGTTTAGTGAGCAATTTTTTTCTGTTGAAATGGTTTTTCATTCAGGTGGATCCATGCCGAAGTTATTTTGTGACGTTTTGAAGTCTATTGAGAACCTCGAATGGAAGAGAATCCGATTGTTCATGGTATGTATTCCCTATGAGTCAAATGTTTTTTTCTGGTTTGCAATTCACTACGACTATACTTTCAAAACTAGCGCTGAGAAAATATTATGTTAATATGACATGCTACAAATTTTACTGTTCGATTCGACTTATCGAGATGAACGAATTTATTTATTTATTAGAACATGTAGCTTACGTACATGAATTAAATAATATAAAATGAAACGAGTTATTAGGAAAGAGGACGAAAAACCGGGTTGATCATCAGGTTTTAATTAAATACACGAAATTGCTTCAGTAAAATGAAATGCTTACACTTCTTTCTCCCATTTTTTCGGTATCTAATCCACTACTCTGTTCTTAACTGACAATGAGTTCTATTTTTGCCGGCGTTCTTTGGAATGGGGGGATAGTTATTTGGGCGTAAATTTTGGGCTTGAACCTTACTTATAAACGCTGCACCAATCCTGACACCTACCATCAGTGTTCCCATCTTGCCTCCTGTACTCCTACCAAATTTTTGCGCTCTAGGTCAAATTTGATATTTTTGTGCAATCCCCCCCCCCCCCCTGTGGGCGTTGTCTATCCCCCCAAATATCATCGGTGTTCCCATCCTGCCTCCTGTACTCTTCACCAAATTTCAGCGCTCCAGGCCCAATTTAACATTTTTTTGCGAAAGCGCCACCCTCTGTGGGTGGAGTCCGATCCTGCCACTCCAATGAGTGTACCCATCCTGCCTCCAGTGTACTCTTACCAAATTTGAACGCTTTAGGGCCAGGGGGACGGGGTTTTGAGTTTCCGCCCAAACCCCGTCCACTGTGAGCGGAGTCCGGTCCTGCCACCCACCATGAGTGTTTCCAACCTGCCGCCTGTGCTCCTACCAAACTTAAACGCTCCAGGTCTACGGGAGCCCTAGCTATAAATTTCTGCACAAACATTTAGCTCCGCAAACCCCGCCCCTCTGGATGGAGTTCGGTCCTGCCTTCCTCCATAAATGTTCCCATCCTGCCGCCTGTACTCCTGCTTTAACCCTTTGACGACAGCGCGGCACAACGGTAAGCCACGGTTTTTTTTGTCGCGTGGGACAGCGCGGCTCAACGGTGGACCGCACCCTTCTCATTGGTTGTTTTTCTCGATTATTAGTTTTACTTCGGGTTTTTTGTATTTAATGGGTTTGCAATCACCAAATAACACTATACACAAAGTGGGCCAAGAAAAATATAGCTAATTACTGAAAATTACTGATAAATTCAATTCTCTCCCTGGAAATCACACTTTTTGTGCATTTTTGAAAGTAGTGAATGTAAAAATGACTTCCACATCTACTGCCCCTAGGATGGACTGGTCTTATGAGAGCGTAAACACTTCGATAAGCTCGAGTTAGTTGTTTACAACAAATTTCTCGAAAACTTGCCCTCTTTTTAACTGCCTATCTTCAACTTTAGTTAGTATTCCTTTTCGCCTTTTCAAGTGTCGAAAAAGGGCGCTATGTTCCAATAAGACATTGACTATATATCGGTATAGAGATGTATCCTTGTTTCAAAAGTCCGTCCATTAGTCATGACCACAGCAAACACAGCTGCAGAATCCTTGCCCGTGGGCTGACTACCGATGTAAATCTTGAATCTGAATCTGGAGTAAATCTTAGCATCCCTCGTGTACACCTTAAAAACATAGCTTGGGAAGTTTTATTCTTCAATTTTATTTTCGTCGGGTTCGGCCAATAACCTTTCAAAACCACCTTCTAAATAGTCCAGTGCAGGCTGATAAATTCCGACTCTCAAAGCTATATTATGCATAAAACCAACCCAACTAAAGTTAAAAACTCATAACTACCCACTTTACCCCTATTTTGAAAAGAACGAATCATGAAAATCATGAATCATGAAAAGAACGCATGAAAAAAAGCAAAAAATATTCACTTTAGAAAAATGTATAACCCGTGGGACAGCGCGGCTCAACGGTGAGCCACGGAAGCGGAAAGCTTCGAAATGCGTCTGTCCCGCGCGCCAGACACGCAAAAAGGCGCGCTGTCGTCAAAGGGTTAATTGAACTCTCTAGGCCCAAGAGAACCGGAGTTATGAATTTCCGGTCAAACATACATGCATACAGTAATACGTTCAAAAAGAAATCACCTCCAACTTTTTTTGCCATGACTCATCTCGAACTCAACGTGTCTGACTGATTTATTGACGTTGTCAACAGTAACGATATTCGATGTCTCCAGCACAAAACTCACGAAACTCCTTTTTATTTCGTTTGAAAGGCCACTTTTTACATATTTCTGAACAGGCAAAATAACATCAGTTCCAACAATTTGAAATAATTCACTTGACTTGAACGCTATCATCATGAGATTAAAACCTAATTAACTACTAGTCTAACACTTTTTAGTGAAGCCGTTGTCATTGATGACGGCTTGGCATCTGCGGGGCATTGATTCGACCAACTTGCCGTTCAGGCACTCATCCATTTCCTTCCATTCTTCTTCAAATAGGCCAAACTTCTGAGCAGCATTTGCGACGGTTTCATCGGCTATCCTTTTCTTGAGTTTTTGCCACGAGGGTCCATTGGTGTTTAGGTCAGGGGACTGGCAAGGCATCGGATTTCCCGATGAGACAGCCACTCGCGCCCCCTTCTAGATCTGCGTCCGTGGTCGTTATCTCGCTGAAGAGTAAATCACACTCCGTGCACAGGACGGGAGAAAGGTAGCATGGATTTCTCAAAAATGTCTACGTATATCTGCTTGACCGTGGTGGTGAGAATATGGTGCATGGACCCCATGCCTAAACTCGGAGACCATCCCCAAACCAACACCGAGCCGGCACAATGCCTAAGAGTTGTCAAATGCTACTTGGGGTCGGAACTTGTGTTTTAAAAGGTCGTCTATGAACAAAACCCAAGTAACCAAGCAAAACAATCTTTGACGAGTCACTTTAGATGACTTCGCGTCATTGGTTGAAGGTCCAATGAAGGTGCTCACGCGCCCATTAAAGTCGAGCTCGCCTGTTTTTTCAGAAATCCAGATACTTTTTGACAAATCTTCCATCATATATTCTAGCAACCCACAGGTGTCTGTTGATGGTACCTCTAGATGGTACGACGTCTCCCACGTCGATATTCCGGCCATTATATCGGAAGATGCTCGTCTAGAATTTTGAGTCGACGCACAAATGATCTTCTTATCGTCTTCAGGAGCGGCAATCCGTACCCTTCCCGAGCTGGCTCGTTTGATTGGGCCTGGAGAGACTCAATACCTCTGATAGCTATTGTAACCGTAGACATTCGTAGAAAGAAACAGCCTTGAATCTTGAGCGTGGGTCAATTCCTGCTTACTGCCCGTGGCAATGTCGGAGAGCTGCTCCACGGTCAGAAAGCGAGAGCCAGAGTTTTGTCTCTTCACTGAAAGCTATCAGCTAACAGAACAGAAGAATCACCAACACTTTTAGACTCGAAAAACACAATGAAATCTCCTTGCGGAACATGCCCCTTCCGCAGGTTTTTTGAAAAAAAAATTCACCTAGTTTGCCGGAAGTGAGGTACCGCCAATTCTGCACCGCAGGAGAGTCGGTAATGTTTGAAAAAAGTGCTATCAAAAAATCAAGTAAAAAGATTGAGTTTGAGATGAGTTATGGCAGAATAGGTTCAAGGTGATTTTTTTTGAACGGTACTGTACATACATACATACATACATACATACATACCATACCATACCATACCATACCATACCATACCATACCATACCATACCATACCATACCATACCATACCATACCATA